TGCATCCTACAGAGGATGCGACCTCCAGAGGATTCGACCTCCGGAGGGCGCAGCCTTCTAAATGAGACACGGCTATGGAAACACCAAAGACGCTTTAATATGTTGTGCGTTTTAATAGACCGGTGACGACAGCACAGTGTAGCATTATAAATGAACTTTCAAATGTATCGCACGACCGGAAGCAGCGGAAGCGGTCGACTGTGGCATAATAAAAGCTCAGCTGCTTTCGAGCCGTGTGTCGCGCTCGTTCAGCGGCCTCGTTTCGCTTTGCTTCGTTTCGGGGATGAAGACCACAACTCCCATGATTCCACACTCAGTCACCGCGTCATCAAACTACGCCTTTGTCTCTTTGTTTATTTTGAATACGTGCCATCTAGCGGCGAAAATTACATATTGTGCCTTTAACATGATTCCAAACCGGACAGAAATAAAACTGAATTCATGACAGGATGGGACCTGACAGGATTGAAATAAAGAGCCAAACGTTTGCTTTTGCTCAGTGAGTTAGCTTACAGAAGAGTGTCAAGTTAATTCTTCTGAACAGCATTTGAAACTTTGATAATATTTTAGGCTACAGGTTTTCCGTAGTTTTATCAAACAGAAAGGAATGTTTAAAGTGAGACAACGCAACTAATACTTCAACACCAAATCACAGAATATAAAATGTCACCAATGTCATCATCATCCATTATATTAAGATTATTTATTATTAATATTATACATAAGACTATTAAGATTATGTGTGTGTGTACATCTGAAAATACACAGCATATATAGGCTATATATATATATATATATATATATATATATATGATATTGTTCCACGATTAATACGAGTATAATGTCAAATATAAAAGTATCCATCATGCTACCTACTCAAAACAGTTTAACACAATCTGTGCTCACATAGTAAGGAGACCATTTACTAAAACGTTACCAATCAAAACAACTTCGCCATTATGAGGTGAGTGTTTCTTAGCGAAGGACGCCATCCAGTGGTATTTATTAGACAGTGCTTTTCGCGTGTGTTTGAAGAACATTTCCAAGTACTCAGATGATCTCAGTTGTGTTATTTGTCATTTGATTGAGCTTCCTTCGACGTTCCTGTACAATCTCCTGGTGCTCCTCATTAGTCTGGTGAAGGCTGTTATATATAATTGTAGTATTAACAGTGGAATGCAGAGATATTGCGATTTACACCAGAGTGCAGTAGAATACTGAATAGCCTAATGCAACGAGAGCATGCTGCTATTTTCAGCGGGGTGCAAATAGCGTCTACATTTGAAAGCTTTTAGTCTTAATAGACCTGAATCATGAAATAATGAGACTATTTCTTCATATTGTGCATGGAAGTAAATGCATTTTCAAATAGGTTACTTTTAGATAGCATTTGGTAATGATGTATTGTGTTTATAATTATGTATTATATGATCTCTCTCTCTCTCTCTCTACACACACACACACACACACACACGGAAGCCACAGAAAATATGTGTGTGTGTGTGTGTGTGTGTGGAAAAACTATGGTGAGAGTGGTGCATGTACTGCTGAGAGGCTTCAAGTCAGTAATGAAATGAAATTAAACTGTGATGTTCGTCTCCTCCTGTTTTTGGAACCTTCCTTTCTGGAGTCTACAGCTTGAAACTGGTAAAACCACATGGCTTTACCTCATCAGCAGTTCTTCATTCCCAGAGGGTATTCCCATGCTATCCCAGATTCCAAGTCTAACCAGGAAAATGGGTTTGAAAAACTTCCAATGCACTATAACATCATGTCTAATGATCTAGAACAAATTAAAGCCAATATAAAATGAAAACTCAGTTTGTTTCTCAGTTAAAATTAATGATAAATTGAAATTAAGTTAAAAATATTTGAAATGAAAAAAGGTGCCAATTCATTCCATATTTCAAATGCATATGTTTTTATTTGTGCTACCTATAAAAACTGACCAGATATATAAGTAGAACGGATGTTATACAAACACTGCGTTCAGATGCAATGCCAGTGTTATTTTAGTATTATTTGTAATATATAATATTTTGGAATATATTATTATATATTACGATAATGTATTATAAAGGTATATTTTCAGTTTTCATTTTAGTTTAGTTTAATCATTTTATTTAGCCAGTGTTTTATTAGTTTTTTAATATTTATGTTCAATTTTCATTATTACTTCATTTTTTTTTTAGTAATTTTAGTACTTAAAACTTTATTTCAGTTATTTTTGTTTCAAATGTTAAGTTTGCACTATATTTTATTTCAGCTTTATTTCAAATAACGCAGTCAATTTTAATATTCTAACAATAAGAACATGGACTGATGCCTATCTAGCTCTGTTTTGGAAAACAAAATATGTGTTAAATAACAACCTCTTGACCCAGTTTCTGTTGAAACACATATTACTCATTGTACTTGTCATGATCTTGTTTGTACAGGTTGTCTTGTTTTTGAAATATAATCTCTGACAGAACATCAGCTGGCTATTGGGTATGAAGTGTCCTGGGAACACTGGGAGTCCATTGTAATTAAGATACTGATCTAACATACAATGGTTCATGAAAGGTATGCACTGTTTATGTACAAACAACATTCGGCTATTTCAGTGCTACCAGCATAAAATGCGAAAAATCAAGATAAATAAATAAAGAGTCAAATACAAAATAAAAGATGAGTCGACTTAATGCTAGTCTAGATCTTGTTCAGATAAGCAATGCCTGAGGAGTCTAAACACTTCGGCTCTTCAGCGCTTTCAGCATTGCTGTTTGTTGGATTCACTGGGTCAAGGTTTGGCTGGTTAGCATGGCCTAGTTAGTTAGCCACTATGGCAAATGATGTAACTACAGCATCTGGTTGAAAAAAGCATCTTACAAGCCATGTACTGCGCCATGTATTCTGATGCACTGTGTTTTCATATTATCCTCTGTTTTCAGGTAAAGTTAAAATTACAGTGCAGTAAATCGGTGATTGGGTTGAATCAATAAAGGAGATGTAAGGCATTTATTCAGAATCAGTATGAACGTGACATCTTCAGTTGATTCTTTTTCTCTTAAACTCTGTTTAACAGGTACATTTTTTTTAAATTAATTTTTGATGTCAAATTTATGACATTCTAAGTCATTATGTAATAAAAATCTGAAATTATGCCATAAAAAGTCAAAATGATCAGATAAAAGGTCATGACAAAAAAAGTTGATTTAAGAGATACTAAGTCAGATAATAAGTCAAAATATGGAAGCACATTTCTGCCACTGTGCCACATAAAATATAATGCTTCGGTTAATCATAATTATAACTCAAAAGTCAAAATTATGACATACTAAGTCCAACAAACATACTAACATAATTATGAAATAAAAATGAAAAATTATGAGATAAACCGACATAACTATGACATCAAAATTCAAAATTGAGATAAAAAAAAAGTATTATTATGAGAAAATAATCATTGTCATAATTTCGAATTTTATCTCACTAAACTTTATTGACCAGCTGATTTTCAATGCTCAAACAAATCAAGTTTATTTGAACTGTAAATACACGATTACATATTTTAACACTGATTTACTGCTTTAAAACTGAGTTCGCAACCACTTATTAGTCTTTAAAATAAACTGATTCCATTTGACAGGGCGCATGCCGCCAGATGGCGCATTTCTGCTTCTGTTTTCAAACGTGATTCTCACCATTGTTGTGGTGTATGTTGTCTCCTATTGGTGTGCCCACCTGTAACTGTTGTAAAAATTTTTATGTAACGTACTTTCATGTAAACAGTGATTCTTTTCACGTTAAGTTAAGTGAATTTGTGTCTTAAGATGTGACATTTATCTAATATCTAAATATCTAAAAATAATTATTTTCTTTAATGTGCAGAATTTTCATAAAAAATGAATATCAAATCAAATCAAAAATTAACAAAAGTAAAAATTATACTTTAGTCTACTCTTATAGCTGTTCCTCATTCTGTTGCTTTAGATATGGAAATTAAATTACACAATGACAAAGGAGAGAAGCTTCTCCTCACAGGAATGTTTCAGTGTCTCTGTTCATACCAGCATTCATTTTAATAGAGAAAGCATTACTGCATGTTAAAAAAACACACCAGAGGAGGTCAAACCTAAAGCACCCTTACCAAAAAGTAGTATACTTCAAGTTTATTTTAGTAAGTATACTTAAGTAAAGTTCAAGTATATTTTAAAGTATACTTTAAGTATATTTGTAAGTATACAAATATCAGTGTACTAGTAGTATACTTGTAAGTGTACTATTTCAATACTCCTTGGGACTAAATTGGCCCACTTTCTAATATATAAAAGTATACTTTTAAGTATAACAGTAGTAAACTTTGAGTACACAACTAGTTTACATCAAAATGTTTAGTTTGTACTGCAACTATACTAAAAGTGAACTAGGTATACTGATAGTTTTCTAATTAAATACTTAGTAGCATTTTTAGTACACTTTGAAGTATAGTCTAAGTAAACTACTAGTTTAGTAGTTCTATACTGCAAGTATACTCGTAAGTTTTCTTTAAGTGAACTTTACATCATACTTTAAGTATACTACTATGTCCCTATTTAGGTATTAAT